CTCGAAAAGTGGATTTAGTACGGACACACATCACAAATTATACAGAAAAGTGGATTTGCTATGTAATTTGGATCCACTTCTTCAGAGGGCGTTAGTGCACGAGGGCATTTTAGCGTTACAGCTAAAAGGTCGTCGTGTCCTTTCTTGGATCCTTCTCTGCTCTCAGGCTTGTTTACGCTTTCTAGAAGACGACTCCTTACGAAGTTGCCAAAGCTATAAGAGGAGAAAGAAAATTTATTTGTGCGTCTATTCGTACGATCGTTAAGTGATTTACGCATGAAAAGAGGTTTTTTAATCTACAATGGAAAAATCCGAAATGAATAACGAGGTAAAATATACATTTATTTATCTAACACTAATGAAACACGTGCGATCTGTTTACATTTATTTTTGTTATGAAAACGATATTTATACCATTCATATATATATATTCATTTTCAGTTCATCCTTTTGCGACACGCAGTTCGTCAGGCACGAGTCTGTGTAATAAATAAGCTTATCAAGGAGGCTAAGCTCTTGCGGGACAGATATGGAAACCCCGCGCAATGGGAGAAGTGTAACAAGAAAGCCGACAAACTGATCGCCGAGGTTTACGCGCTGAAGACAATTAAGGACGACGAGATTTCAAGATTCGGTATTTTAAATGAGAAAGGCCTGATCGAAATATTACAGGATCCATCGTCAAGTAGTAGCGTTCGCATAATGGCGAGGGTGGCATATCATAAAACTCTGTGTAGAAGACTGACGCAGTTTAAGGAGAGGTTCCCCGACTGCAAGAAGCATCTGACGGAGAAGAAAAAGGCCGCCAAGTTGAAAGACAAGGACGCTGCGAAAACTAAGAAATCTAAAGAGAACAATTCTCAGAGTAAAGGTTCGAAGAAACAAAAAGTTGTCCTGGATAAAAACAACGTCGAACAGCACAACTCCAAAGATGAGGAAGGATCCAACAGCGAGTTATCCGAAGTGAAAAGTAACTCACGCAAGCGCAAAAAGGCACTGGACGGAGATAGCACGTCCTTGGAAAAGCAAAAATTGTTGAAACTAGAGAAAGACGATGTTGGGTCAGAGGCTACAGTCGCGAATAAGCAGTCAAGTGTAATTAAACCATCTGGCGTCACGAAAGAGGCCACGGTGAAGAGGTTCGTCGAGCTGTTGGTGGAGCAAGAAGCTAATCAGGACGCGCAGACGTCGGTCGAAAGTCAACATCCCGCGGGCACCGCGACCGAGCAAGTAAAGACGGTTGACGACTTCTTCATCACGACGGACGGTCAGAACTATCAAGGAAACAGCGCCTCGACGTCGTGCACAAAACCTCGCAGATACGATACGCGAGGTAAAACTTTCCAATTCAACGATCGGACGAAAAAGCAAAATGCAAATCGCAAAAACGACACAAACGTCAATAACAAACATCCGGGCAAACAGTCTTTCTCCGCGAAGTCCAAGAAAATGACACCCAATAAGTTTAACAAGAGCGCAAGCAAGAGTAACGCGAACGCGAATGCAGTTGTCAATAAAAAAGACGACACCGCCGGCTTGCATCCTTCTTGGATGGCTAAGAAAAAAGAGCAGGAAATTATGAGCAAAGGATTTCAGGGCAAGAGGATCGTATTTACGGACGATTAGGCGTAATAGTTTACCGTACGGAGTAAGGAGCTTACAAATTAATCGAGAACCTTTTGTAAAGTGCTTTGCAAATTTCAACGATACATTCGTCATATTGTTTTAACAAAGATGTTTACATATGTACATTTATTTTCAAGTAATACATTTATTTAATGTAAATATCCTAATAGCATCATATGTTATGTCTTCTTTTCTACATAGTTTATGTATTTTTTTGTTCAATAAAATACAATCAAGTTAAATTAAATCATATATGTTTCTATTTGTATGTAATTTTTTTCTCCTGTACGTAAAATATATCGTAAACATATGCTATTGTTAATAACATACGTAGAAATAATATTTAATCGAATGACTTAAAAAAAACTATTTAAAATATATGATCAGATAAAGAAGACATTTTCAATTTAATATGTTTAATATTATTCATTAACAAAATTAAATATTGATCAGTCAATTAATATTTAATCTTGTTACGTAACATGTAATGCGGGGACAAACATTCTATGTTTGCATTAATTACAACTTCACAGATTTAATGGACGTATTATCGAGCTTCTATGAGGAAACTCGGAGCTTTTTGAAGGATTCGCATCACTTGTTTTTCGAAAGGGTGCGTTGCTTTTCGCCGTGCATAACTAATTGGGAGTCCACGGGGAGGCCTTTCCTTCGACGAACCGCGTCCATGTAGCACTTGGCTCGATTATCGCTGTCCGCCTTCTCACCGAAATGGAGGTATTCCTCCTCCGTGGATGGCACCCAGTAAGGATCCTGTTCGATTATCTGCAACGCAGAAACGTACGAGTTTCAATCACAATTTCAAAAGTTCGTGCAAGCAATTAATAATAATAATAATGTATATTTAAAAAAGGGAAGGAATCCCTTCTTCGGAATCGCCATGGATTGCAAACTCGAAAATTTAATCGTATCTTTTAAAAACCTTTCATTAATTTATTAAAGATAAAAATAAAAAAACGTTGATCAAGTTTTAATCATTTTATCATTATTATCTTGTAAATTTCTAAGCATAAGTCACAAAGTTTATGAACACTTTAATTCACTAGAAAATGCGCTCACCTCCCAATGACTAAAAACTAGTTGCGGACTAGCCAATCCGGACGTTTGCGTCCACAGTTCTCTTGCGAGATGGAAGCTCTCCAGAACCGGTAGGGTGGCCAATACTCTGAATTGTCCACCGAAGCCGTGTGCACTTTCCGTGGATACGATACGGCCTTGCCTCTTGCCGAACACAGCGTACAATTTCCCTGCAACAAGAACAATCAATGCCATCAATTGTTGATGTCTCAGCGCGAACGGTAAGTGAAACGCGGCGGCGCGGTTGCCTCTGCACCGCTCTAGCATTTCTTCGCGGCATTCCTCTCTTACGGTACCCTTGCATTCCTAATAATAATAAACATCTCCGAGTTGAAAGCTCGTTACACGCGCGACAGCGCTCTTTACATGATATTTTCGTACGGTTTCATCTTAAAAATATGCTCGCGAATAATTGGACGTGAGAATCAGGTAAGTGATTAATTTTCGAAGTAGCTTGAAGCATTCATTGTTCTGACAGTTAATGACTTATCAACAAATATAGGTACGAGACGTTTATGAAATATTTAAAAGAATGAATTTTGAGAAGTTCGCTAAAAACAAACGACTACTTTTAATAAAAATAAAGAGAGTAATCAGAAATGTCCTGATTAGAAAAGATAAAACGTAATACTGTATCTCTACTCGAATGAGGAGAGACAGCCGCAGAGGAAAAAAAAGAGAAAAAAAGAGGATAAAGAAAAAGGGAGAAGAAAAAGGTACGAGATGTCAAACGAGATTCGGAATTGCGCGAGAAACGAGGCGAACGGATTCAGATACGATCGGAAGACGCAGAGGCAGAGAAGAGGGAAATTGTCGGCGAAAAACTGGCTCGCTGGTAAAAGCGAGGGAAGAGAGAAAAGGATCGTGGAATATACAGAATGTGCAGAAAACAGCGGATAATGACAAAACAGACCGCGCGCGCGAAAGCAAACGGGCCGACCTCCGGAGAAAGAGTAAAACACTCGTTAATACGCTCCCGGGGAGAGCGGAGAGCAACGCGCGCGCTTCGTACGGAGAGCGCCCGTGGAAGAGAGGATGCGATACAAGGACAAACGGCAAACGGCGACGAGTCCCGAGAAAAAACGGCGACGATGAAAACGTTCGGTGCGGAGAGATAGAGATAGAGAGAGAGAGAGAGAGAGAGAGAGAGAGAGAGAGAGAGAGAGAAAGAGAGGCCCCGGATAGAGAGTAGTAGTGGGGATGACGTAAGAGCAAGGGACAGAGGGGGGAGCAGTAGGAGCAGTCAAGAATGAGACGAGAAAGAGGAGGGGGCGATGCGCGGGGAGGAGGTAGCGCGGGGGGGAGAGACGAGAAGGACGAAGGAAAAGGGGTGGGGGCATCCATTCATGCTTTACTTCTGGCTTTTAAGAGTCCAGTCGAGCGGACGGCATACCTTCGCATAGGCCGATCTCTCGTCTCGGGACGTTCTGCTTCTTCTCTCAGTCTCAACGATATCGCGCTCCATTTCTCAAGAGGAAAAGAGCCTCTCGTACAGGAATCGCAAAAAAGGAGTACCGCACGGAGAGACGATTGATCCAACGAGCACGGACGGACACAAGATTTTTCGAGGGACGATCGGCGACTCGGTGAGAGTGCGCGAGTGCGATACGCTCTATCGAACGCCCCGGAGGCCCCGTTCCCTCCCGTCCCCTTCCCCACCTCCTTCCTCCAAGATCGGCCGATCAGGATCGCTCTTTCGCATCTCTAGAATCGCGAGAAAAGGGAGATAAAAGGAGATCGGGGATCGTGGTAAACAGAGACACGTGACGTTTCTGGCTTTCGCGACTGAAGGAAAAAAAAAAGATCGTAAGATCTTAAATTCGAGAAAGAGGCTTAACCGTACGGTAAACGAATTGGATTTCGTGCGAGATATCGTCGGGACCTGTGGAATCGAAAAAAAGTACGTTGTCGATCGATCACATCCGCGGGACGAAGATCATCGCAAAGCCTTTTCGTCATCGACGATCGATCAATGAGAAGACTCGCGTTTGTAATATTCACGAAGATGGACTTCAAGTAGCAGTAGCGGACGATCAAGCGAGCCTCCGAGTTCTTCTCGATCCGCGTTGTATTTCTGCTATGAGTACTCCCTGAGTATTCCTCCTCCCGCTCGTTCTGAACGCCTTGTCGCGCAAATAAGAAGGTGAACGTATCGAAACCCCCCCTTCCATTCTTTTTATCGCATCCCCCCCACCGTGGAGTAAAACACCTAACGCAGCAAACGTTCCCTCCGGAGAGAGAGAGAGAAAGAGAGAGACACACACAAACAGGCAACCGCCGATTCTCTCGACCGGGATTCTTTATCGGGAAGAACTTCGCCGTGCTTATCCTTACACTGCGACACGATGACCGGCAAATTAATACGGCACCTGCTGTACACCCTACTGGCGATCGTCGGGGTCGTCCGACGGAGCAGATGCGAGGTGTTCGATCTGCCGCTGCGAGTCGAGCACGACGAGTACGTCAAGGAGTATTTCTTCTTCGACGAGAGCAAGTACCACGCCGAGCTCCAGGAATTCGACGACACAACGATTGAGATCGATCTACTCAATCGTAACCGGAAGCACAGGCTAACGCACGAGGAGCCGCCCAGGCCGCTCAGGCCGCCCAGGGTGCTATATCAAGTCGGGGTAAGCCACTCCTCCACGCCAACTTCCATTTGTTTATCAATCGCAATTTCTAAATTATGTAACCTAAAGTATATATTACAAGTATATATATGCAGAGTTTTCTATTTCCTAATTCATTATATATATATATATATGTATATATGTATTACGTAACTGTTACGTAGCCACACTGGGTACAAATATGTTGAACGACTGGCTGACCGACGTACGAATATAGTAATTGATTTAATGTTTCGGCACGTTCGGTTTAAACGAAAGGCGATATTTTATCACACGATACAAATATACAAATCACACGAACTGAAGCGTCGATGCGATCGCATCCTTTTACTTTTCTATTTTCCTACGCTCAAGTAGGAGCAGCACATCTCTCAAATTCTTCCCCTCGTATCGACTTAAGCATAAAGTCGACGAGTCACTCGCCTATTAAACTCCCTCCCCCCCCCCCGGGGAGGTTTTTAAGATTACGTTACTCGCTCCATTAAATTCCCCGAACGAATTAGCGCTTAAATTGCTCCAGAAAGCGGCTGAACGTTTAGCGACCTAATCCCGGCGAGTCGCATCTCGTCGGAGCCACGCAATTGAATCGCCGCGAGAATATGAATGGTGGGACAGATCTCGCGCGCTATTTCTCTCGCGACTGATCCGTCTGTCGGTGTGTATCCCTCACGATCATCTCCGACTGACGATGTGTTTTTTTTTTTACGTGAATTTTTTTCTCAACAGGTGGTCTCGATTTTCAAGAGAATTTTCGACCGCGCGCGCTACGAAGAGTCGCGGCATCGGTATATAATATGTATATATCTCCGATGATATACATATGTGCGAGTTCGTATAGGTATATATACTCTCGGGTAGCATTCCGAGGATTTGAAGCTAAATCGTCCGCTTACAGGCGCAGGAAGTAGAAGGAGAGGGAAAACGTAGCCGTTAGCAAAGAGCGGCGCCCACTCGATGCTCGAACCTGTTGCTGCTGTCGTTGCTGTAAACACCTACGTGTCGACGGTATACGTGCGTGTGCGTCGCGTCTGTGCGTTCGTGCGTGCGTGCATACGTGTCCCCTATGGGATACGGTGCGTAGGTATACACGTGCGGACAGGCGCGACACCCAAGTACGACGTATCGTAGATACGTACGTTTCGCACGTGGGCCGAGAGTACGTGCGCAGGAACGACAACGGGGGAAGGGGGGAGAGGGAGGGGGAATGACGACGACGGTGTCGTCGAGGAGAGAAAACTGCTCCTTGCATATCGAACGAGAATCACGCGGCCCCGACGAAATCGCGCCGAGAGAGCGAGAATCGCTCTTGCAAAACAAATCTTCCCTCTTTATTGTATTCTCGTCTCTTATTCTCTGCCTTCCTCCCTTTTCTCTCTCTCTCTCTCTCCTCTCCTTCTCTCTCAACAGTATAATCTATAACAATCGTATGCCTACCTGTAGCCTTCTAAATATAGAAAAGAAAAGAGCAGAAAAATACAATTGAACACGAGGACATATCCGGTATAGCCGAAAAATGCCATTTTCAATGCAGCGGTTGGAGAGAACAGGGTTTTTCTTAAGAAGAATTCCCTATATATATAAGAATAATCTATTTCTTTTCATAAATATTTCCTGTTTTTTGAAATTGTTTTTTTTTTTTAGAAAAATTCGACAAGAGATTTGTTATTTTACATCACTAACTCAAATACACAAATAATTCAGTCGAGAAGGGTAAATTCTTTCTCGTAGATCATTTCCATTCATAATCTACGCATATCACGATTATCTCCACGGACAATTAGTATAGATATGCATCGAGTAGCGATTAATTACCCTGCCGATTATACAGAGCACCCAGTGCCATTACGCTTTCGATCGCACGGCGAGATTTCCAGGCTTAGAGACATCCGGTACGGCTATATGGAACGATGAGCGAGCGATCTTTCTTTTTACTAACGCCATCCATCCATCCATCCGACCAGATTCCCTGCGTCGTCGTGCGTCTTGCCTCTCTTTTCTTCTTTTCTCTCTCTCTCTCTCTTTTTGTTCCGCATCTCGTTCCTCGTCTCGCGCGGCCCTTCTCCTCGTCGTCGCCGATGCCTAGCGGCTCCTCCTCCTCCTCCTCCTCCTCCTTCTCCTCCTCCTTTGCCTTCGTGTAGTATGTCCATCCCGAGTGCCAGGTGTCATTTTCATTGCGGCCGTGCGAGAAGCGAGAGACGCGTGAGAACTTCCGGATGGTTTACGGCGCCCTTCCGGTCCTTCTATTATCCCATTTTAGTTTACCGCCGCTCTCCGTGTGTGTGTACATGTGTACGTGCGTGAATCCCGCTGCTCGCTGCCGCTATATCAGCTTCAAAAACTTCCTTCGCCTTTCGTTTCGCTTCACCTTTTCTTTCGCTCCGTAGAGCCGACGGAAGTGGGATAAAGAGATGCGTAGGGAAGGCCGCGCGGGAAGGATAATGCGGACAAACACGATTAACAATCGGAAGCGATTGAAATCGGAATATAATGCCGTAAGATGGATCGGGGGCGGCTTAAAAACATCCTCCGGTAGGATTTCGGCGCTTTCAGCAAATTGTAAATTGTTTATATACTGCCTGCGCGTACATATATAAGCCGAATAAGATTCTTTCCAAAATCGGACGAAAATGACATTAAACCGTAAATTTATTATGTGTATATAATAATAAGCAAATTTATGAAAAGCAAATTATAATGCATGTCAAGATTTTGTACTTAAAAAAAAATAATACCTTTTATAACACTTTAGATAAAAGAAATTTTCTACAAATTTTTAAATAATTTTTCTAATTTGTTATATATGGAGGAAAACTGTAAACGAATATCATAAGCGAACAGAAAATTATTCGGAAGGTGTAGGCTAGATTTTTAGGCATATAAACACGAACGGATGTCTACACGAACGGGATGAAGGAGGATTTTCCTTGTAAAAAGCTATTCGTTCGGTCCATTGTGCCGTGACGAATGATCGTAGTAAGTAGTATAATAGTAATAATAGTAGTAGTAATAGTAGAAACTACAGCTGGGGAAGCGACAAAAAGACAAACGAGAGATGAACGGATGGTCATAGCAAAAAGTCGAATGCTCACAGTCGGCGGTAAAACGGCGGAAGACCATTTCCTCGAACGTTTCTTCGCTGAATGGTCACGTTGCTTCAACTACTTCGACTCACGCACTATCGGGGTGCACCTCTCTCGATAAACGCGTATCGCGTTAACAGAAACCGCGCGCGCGTGAAGATCGCGTGAAGATCGTTCGAGAAGCTTTTTTTCAATCATTTTTTACTCATAAATCCGTAATGTATCTGCGAACAAAGGATCGGAGAGACGTGGAAGTGGATAATTTTTGGATTCGGCAAACGACGAAATTCGATAGGGTACAGCGGGGTTTGAATAGTGGGGTAATTTGGATAATGGTAAGCATTTGCAAGAATTCTAGAAAAATAAGGGATTTTAACTATTTTAAGTTACATTTCACTATATCAATGATGTAATGAAATGTATCTTAAAATCTCATTTTTCTGAAATTCTTGCAAATGCTTACTATTATCCAAATTATCCTGTTGTACCCTATTACAAATTCACTCGTTCACGAGGGAATTCACGAGGGAAGTTTCTTCAAATTATGGAAATTTTTAAAAAAAAAACGAAGGACCGGAATGCCCGAAGACATCCACGGCAGATATATATTTCGAGATTCCATTTGGTCGCCTTACGGTAGTTGACGTCGGCGATGACGATAGGCCGGACAGGACGTACACGATTGCCTCAATGAATGGACTGGCAACATCTAAATAGTCCAGTTATATAGCAGACTTTGTATCGCCGGCAGAAAGAGCGGATATACTTCAGTTACGAGTCTTGTGCGCAATCGTCCCGTTTATTTCATTAAGCGCCGTGATCCCATAGCGCGACACGACACGTTCAGACGTTTATTATTACGCAACGGTACAATCGCCGCGCGATCATAATCGTCCTACTAATAATTCCGTTACCGTACCCGTCGAGAGACGGACGCGTCCGTCCAGATGTTTATTTATTAATAACGCTCGCGATTTCCCGGGGGGGAGGTGATATGTCGGTCAGCTGCTGCTCGACTCTCAATGCGATCTCTGGATTCTTCGGTGTTATTTGCGCTCGTGTCACCGCACAACGGACGAAATAAACAAAGTGATAAAATTGCCATCTCGGAATCGGATCGGAGGGGACAATTGAATTTCCGCGAAAGGCGAATGCGAGCGTCAATCGCTTTATTAATTGACGCGAATGCTTGTTTGCGCAGAACAGCGAGAAGGAGTTACCGGAGTGCGCGGACCGGAGCGAGGTATGTAGCAAGGTGGATTTATATAATGACCCGTGGATCGAGAGACAATGTCGTTGCCCGAACGGCCGTGCCTGTCCCAGCGGTGTTTACGAGGACGAGGGGCAAACGATCGTCGATAAAACGCGCCGCTACAAGCTCTGCGAGCCCGTGAAACGACTTCCCATCTGTCATTACTTCAAGTTAGTTAGATCACGCATTTTTCCCCCACGAGACCGCCGCTCGGATTCGACGATTCCACGTTGCGTTCTTGAATCTTGGCTATGTTCACGTGTTTATAAATGAAATTTTTCTACGATCTTTTCCCCTGAACGTATGTATTTCAAAACGCGATGCTTGAATCGAAAATCACTGCTGAATCCGAGTTGCTCGCTCGCGAAATAGACGATGCCAAACTTGTACATTCGCATTGAATATATCCTAAACATTTTACCGCAGGGACATTACATGGACACTGGCACCTGGAGGTGGCCCGGCGAACGCGACGGTGCAACGAGTCCATTGTCGATGTCGGCCAAATAGCGTGCCATACCTAGTACGTAGGCAACCCCACAGATCGCCGGACGGAAATCAGGGCTTCATCTACGCCTTCGCCTGTTCTCCGCAAAGCGTAAGTCAGCGATGCCAGAAATAAAGAGAAACACGGGACTCGTTTATTAAGCACGGAATTTCCAGAGAGTTTCGCTTAAAAATTGACGTATTTCTCTCTCTCTCTCTCTCCCTCTTTACAACGCGCTTGGCCACTCCTTTCTTAGCGTAAACGCTGACCAAAAAAAAGTCTTAGGCACGCGATTAATTTGCCGTTCGTCTGTTCTCTGTGCAGAAAATACGATGCCAGCACAAGGAGCCCTGCCGCCTGTTCACCGTGCGCAAGAGACGTAACTCGCAGCTCGAGGAGGTGAACGCCTCGCCGCTCTGCCAGTGCCCCCGTGGCTACAAGTGCCCGGAGAGGCACACGGACGACGGCTCCTCGCCGGCGCGATCCTACACCGGTATCCTGGAGATCAAGACTTACAGCGGCTACTGCATACCGAACCCGCACTACAGCTACGACAAAATGACCTACGGCATCTGAGGGGATACCGCGTAGCGCGCGCATTTAGATACGCCACCACCAGTTCTCGCTGCAGCGACGTATCCAGGATGTGTCTGCCGAAACGCAAATCCGAGCTTCAACGGACCACTCATACTTTTACCCATACTTCCCCCTTCCTCCCCTCCGTAAAAAGAAAAAACGGTTGGTTCCCGAAAATCATGGCGGATCCTTCCGCCCGTCTTTTCAAGCGCGCAACAATTGGCCATTTGGTACCTGCCGATTGTCGAAACGTTGCCGTAAAATCGCACAGAGGCGGCCGGCTTCCAATTCCCCGATCGTCGGCCGACGAGCCGGCGTTCGGATGATCTTTCCGAGGAGAGCTCATCCGGACGCTCTGCTCTGAGAGCAATCCTTTTGAATTTCTCTTCTTCTCTGTCTCTCTCTCTCTTTCTCTCTTCTTTTCGTCTCGAACGAAGCGTGGTACTCGGCGGCGCTCCTGATCCGCACCGTAGACAGGAAAGCGTCGCGTAGGAATCGCGGACAACGGGAAATTAACATACGTGTCGGTCGGTCGGCTGTACCAGCCATGTGATGCCGTGCCATGTACAATCCCCCCCTCTCCCCTCCCCCCCCCCTCCCACCAGCGGCGTTGGCGAATGTTAAATGTAAAAAGTAATGTACAGAAGAATATATAGCGATAAGAGAATCATCAGCCCGCCTACAGTTTTGTACAGTACGTTTCGAAACGATCGCCTCGTATTCCCGCAATGTAATACACACGGGGGGCCCCTCAAGTTATCGCGCCCCTCGGTCGTAGCAACGGCGAGTCTTTTTCTTTAGTGCTACCGATTTTTATGCCGCTTCGTAGAATATATTGCAGACGTTGCAGCTATCACCACAGTCGTTTCAAACTCCTGTGTACATATATTCGTCTCTCTGGTCTTCTGAAAGCGTTTCATTCGGGGAGTATATTGTATATGGTAGCATCTCTCAAGACAATTTAAAAGAGACTCTCTCGATGTTATTTGTTACTTTTACTTTAACTTAATAAAAAGTATATATATGTGTATACGTGTGATGTTACTTTTTTTATCCTTTCCAGCTTTTTTTCTTTAAGAAAAGCAACTTTCGAATGATGAGAGATATGGCTATCAATTTAAAATTAGTTTAAAAAAATACACGCATTTCTGCGACACGAGAACGTGATGAAGAAAATTTATCGATCTTCGAAATCGTTGAGGATGCAGGTAAAAGTCAAGGATAAGGATGCGAGAAATAACTGCCGATCTATCGCAAGTCGATAAAGAAGATATCATTATAACAATATCAACGATATATCAACATACCAACGAGTTGAACAGGTAGATTTTAACAAAAAACATTCCTTGTTGGTGATTAAAGAATAATTAGAATAATTTTTATTCGAAATATCCACGCTCATTTAATTTTATCTATAAAAATCTACTAATTTACTACTATCTTAATTAATTTGATCATTGCGCACCTTCGTACTAGATAAATTACAACAAAGGGTACGACAACGTTAGTCTTGATCTCGATCTCAAAATGTAAGACTTTCTACCGCCGGTAAAAATTAAGACACACCGGCATCTTAAATATCATTCTAATGATATCTTTTTTTTCTCGGAGGCCTACATCGCTCCGCATGCAAGTAGAGCAAGGAATTTTTCTCGGAACGCAACATAAAATTCGCAACATAAATGCGCAGTGTAGACGCGTGTGTTACCGGCTCTCAATATTATTATCCATCCACATCATCGTTTCCCTCTTCAGGAAAAGTGACTCTCTGATATTTTACACGTCGAAGAGACGTAGATATCAACAATTCAAATCTCACGTACTCCTTGCAAGAGCGGGGAGGGGGGAGGAGAAAGGGCGGGGAGGGGGCCACAAAGGAACCGCTGCTCTTCTGCAAACGTTATTCGTCGGATAACTCGGCACAGGCAGAACGCGAGTGGACGTCGGAAGCCGTGAGTTATCTGTGAGAACGTCACGGTCCATCACCTGCGACTCGCGGATGCTCCACTCTTGCACGTTACCATCTGCACGGCACCGTTACCGCCGCGCTGTCTTGACTCGAGTTCCCTTGAGCGGCGCGCAATCGCGCCGAAGGTGCGTTTGAACGGCCGGTCAAAAAATCGATTCGCATCAAGTTAACCCGTGATTAAGTTGCGACCTTTCCAACAACCCTCGTGTTTGTCACACAAGAAGCCGTTTAAATAAATTCATTTAAACAAATATGTCATCAAGAAGTACATGTTGCAGGTAAAAAAGCAGACGACAAATAAATTGCCGATATTGTGATTGCACTTACGATGTAGATTATTAAACAAATTTAAAAAAAAACAATAAAATAAATATTAGTTTAATTTAATTGGAATAATTGAAATTAAGATAAAAAAATCAAGACTTTGTTAAAAACATAGACGGCGAATAAATTGTCGATATTAATTGTGGCTGCACTTACGACTTAGATTACAAACAAATTAAAAAACATTAAAATAAATATTAATTTAATTTAGAGTAACTCCGGTATATACGCCGCGCGAGGATTTATGCCGCAGAAGTCAGAAAAAATAGAAGTGAAAGTAATTTTCTCGCAATCACTCTGTTACATACCTTTATGTTATATTAGTATTGTGTTATGATTTCAGTTTTTTACTGTTAATATTTATAAAATTATTTAAGTTAAATCGATTTATCACTGTAATAAGTAACGCAACCATAAGTTATAATCTACATAAAATGATTATTAGATTGATATAGGAAATATAAAAGGCTTTATGGTTATTTCGTGGTACATAAGTGTAGAGGAATTGTAAAGGATAGAGTATAGCAAAATACAAGTACTTAGCTCTTTAGATTATTTGTATATTTTTTGAATTATTTATTTCACCCGTGAGTAGCCGTATAACCTACCCATATTTTTATACGACAAAAATGCAAGGATTTAAAGAATTTCTTTTAATATAACAAATAAATATTTTGAAATCCTAATATCTTTTTTATAGTAGTAGATAGTTTAAAGTTTTTACTGGTCTAGTTCATTTACCTCAGCCATAATTAATAATACCTGATAAATTAATAGGTGCGGCGTATATACCGGAATTACCCTAATTGAAAAAGAATAATTAAAATTAAAATAAAAAAAATCAAGATTAAAAAATATATCTCTCGGTTTAATTTGCAACACATTAAATCTACGCTGACGAATGGAATTTTACTTTTCAATAAAGAGTTTTTGTCGAGGATAATTAATCAAATTTCCATAAATAAATCTCTATGAATTATTCGATAGCTTCAATTATTCATTGTCGTATGCATGCAGTAATAATTGCTGTAAAAGTTGCATGTCCAACGCTTGGAGAGCTTAGAAAGCGAATTCTCTCATGAATATGAAGGGCTTTTTCCCCCGCGGTGAAAATTTATTCGGGCATCGCGTGTTTTCATAACGTTCTCGCTTTACGGACGCTGAATAACTTTGTTAGTCACGAATATCTCTCCGTAAAAATCATCGCGCGGATCCTCGGGCCATGCCCGGGGAACAACCGGCGGATCCTGCGTCCCGCGGAGCCGCGGCATCTTTCCCGACACACTTCTCTCTCCGGGACTTTTTTTTACTACCGCGCGTTACTTGTTCCTCTCTTTCCGAAGGCGCGAACCGCACTCGCCTCATTTCGAGCGCAAAAACCTCACTGGCACAAAGAACGGGTCCGTTTTTCCGATTGCCAATGGTCAGCTGGAGGAGGCTGTAGCGTTCCCGATGGAGATTCAGCCGTCGATATATCCGCGACGGCTGAAATCTCCGACGTTCTCTCCGCGGCCGTTCTTCTTCTCCGCGGCGAAGAAAAACACGCGAACTATGGCCGAAGCGGTTGTTGCGCACCGCAGACAATGATTAGCGTCCACGTCAAATCGTATGCCTAACAGATAGCCGCAGACTTTCACCGAGATGAATCGCGTGCGCGCGCGCACGGCCGAGAAGAATACGCGTTCGATCTTTGGAGAAAGGCCGCGGCTTAGTACCCCAGACGTGTTACTCGACATCGGTGTCCACGATGGAAAAATCATGATAAAGCGAGAGCCTATAGACGACGCCGGCCACGGTGTAATAACCGTGAGGTATATGCTCTCTCCCGTGCGATTCGCAAAAATGATTGTCGATGTGTTGGATTTACAAAGAGATAACACACAGCTCAACGCGTCTCGACGGATCGCTCCTCCTCTATAGGAATTGAACTTTCTAAAATAATTCGCGATATTTATGTTTATATACCTGCTAATTAAATCAGTTAAATCCGTCGTAACACTTGCTTCTGCGTATTCGACATTCTCAGGGGAGAGAGGGGGGTGGGATTACGGCAAATCAGAAGAAGAAGAAGAAGAAGAAGAGAAGATCAATCTTTGTCCGTTATTTTCTCCTGTTTTCCATTACCGGCGTAATTGTTAATTTTCATCCACAAATATATACAAATCAATTTATTAGACTATAAGTCCTACGCAGGAGATGAGCAGAAAATGAGCAGAAAGTTTATAGCTTTAGGCAGCGCGTGGAAATTTCTCTCTATTCGAAAGGTGAAGATACGTGGGAGTTCAGTCGAGGTCCATTAGATCCTCGGCGTAATATTCCTTCGGAGATCAAAGCGACGGACAGCCGATGGCTACTTCAAAGAGTGCAGTTCTCTCATCTCTCGCAAATATCTCTCGTGATTTCCAATTATACAAAAGAAGGAAAGAAAGAGAAAAGGCAAGACGCAGACGGACTTCTCTCCTCATAACTCGTCATCTAATATCAATTAACAGTCTGCAAAACCATCTTTTCACGGTTGATTAAGAGGCACTTGGTGGTCCAGAAACGACCGGTTCCAGCCGCAAAACTCGCCCGCGTCTCTCATCGGGCTGCTTTTCCGACGGGAGCCGAAAAGACGAAAAGCACAAGTAAAATCCCGGACAAGCGCGGAACCGAGGCGGATGGGGACGACGAGGGGGGGACGGAGGGAAGAAGAGTGGAAGGTGGATTGGCGGAGATGCAGCTTAGGATTCCGAGTATACCCGAGCAGTTTCTGGTTGGTTGGTAAGTGGGACTAGCGGGGACTCATAGGCACGTAGCGTCCTACGCGAGGCCGCAGTCGGGCGCAAACCCCGAAACAATCTCATCGCGGGTTTACCTACCGTCTCTCACACACCGGTCCCGGAGCAACAGCCAGCAGCAATAGCAGCAGCAATAGCAAACGGCAAACGACTCGCGAGCAGTACGGTTCACGGCCTCGGAAGAGCTACGGAACGCGGAAGAGGGTGCGCTTAGACGTGCGAGACGGAATTTTGTCGTCGCGATCCTTCGGGTGTCCAGAACCGAGTCACGTGATCGTTATAACGACCGCTACATCTGTCAAATCACCGGCCGCCGACAACTGTCATACGATCACCGTGTCATTCGATCGGTAACGCGCGTACCGTACAGATTTCTTTTTTGGGAGAGAACCGGCCGAAGGCGGAAGAACCCGACGATCAAGGATCGAAACGAGAGAGGTCGGAGAACGATTGGATTAGAGAGCCGACTGATCTACCGGCTTGTCAGTGGCGTGCAGGGACCGCGAGAAGTACGCCATCCTTCTTTCCTATCAGGGATCGCGGTCGAGGTCGAGGTCGCGTTCAAGGTGGAGCAAGGACGAAAGTCTAGGTCGAGGGTCAGTCTATCTACGCGCTATACGAGGTACGAACTCTTGATATTTTTGCTTTAAATATTAATAAGGGATAGCGGATATATTGCGAATTTTTGTGAGAAGACTCGTTCAGCTATGATTTTTTTTTACTTAACACAAATGTTGTAGTTTTTATATACGCTCATCTTTGATAATCTTTCATTTCATCTTTTCTCTAAAATATCTGTTGAATAAACCAAAGAAATTTAAAAGGAGAATTTCCATTGTTAAATAAACCGATTGATTTATTTAATAATAATACAACAGATAACAAAATTATAATTTGTTAATGTATATAATACATAATAAAATATGTAATACATTAAGCAGAATGCATAGAAGAAAGAAAATACATGATAAGTAATTTTGTTATCTACTATAGCTATTATTCGCAACTACTATAATACTCCAGAAATAACGGAACTGTGAAATAAGTACGGCTGCTTTTGCCGTAATTGTTGACGATGAAGCGATTGCTATCTTTTTTATCTTGTCTTGTAGCCGCAAAGTAGCGGGTACGATTGATTCAATTTCTGTATAAGTGATATTTCGTGTCTACAAATTCGCGACGTCGTCGGGTGTACAAATTAACTCGATTGAGAAAAAAACGGGAAAGTGCATCGCAGACGCGCGTACCTCCTTATTTATGTTTTTGTCGGACAATGTTCGTTCGACATCGGTGATTCCGCCGCGAAGCGAAGGTAGATATACCGAGGGAACAACATTCCGATCGCGACCGCCAACTTTGCTCTTCGTTACTTCCGTTACAATCTACGTGTCCAACTACCGGGCGCTACCGATGCGAATCGAGCCGGTGGGTGGTATTCATTATTGAATGTCTTATTTCAGATAATCGCCCCTTCCTTCCTCCTTACACGCTCTCTCATCCTCCTTCTCATCGTGAATCTCGCTCGCGCACCTTCGTGGAAAGGGGAAGAGAGGAAGGAAATGCGACGATAATATATTATTATCGTCGTATCTCTGGCGGATCGTTCGTCGAACCAGCCGCCGATTTTCCAGCACCCTCGGAAAAAGAATCTCCGTCTCTCTGTTTTCGCACGGTTCATCCCCCCTCGACCTTGTCCCACCCTCTTAAAATATAAATCGGTTAATTTCGCGTACGCGATTTCCATGTATTATATTTTAAAGGCGGCAAAGAATGCATGACACCGCGTTTCTTCGCGCGTTCGCGAAAGGCAGCATCCCGACTGCGGCCGCGCGCTGTAGCGAATGACGCGACAAACCGCGGGGATTACAATGAGGAAAAGGGCTACGCAAAACGCGTTAAGCCAATTTAACAGAAGTTCCGTTAGACGGTTACGTCGGTCGTCAGCGGCGTTGACGCGAGTCGCCGCGCCGCGCGAATCGCCATTTCTCTTTGTCTTCCGTTTGTGCGCGTTTGAATCGCGCGAGATCCTTTATGTGTCGCGCGGACGCGCGAGACGTGAAACGCGAACGATTTTACGAGATCCGTCAAGGTGCGCCTCTCCTCTTTCACCGTTCTCTCCGTCGGTGCTCATATCCATTGCTAATTGCACGAGCTTTTGTGTACGGTCGACCGTCGCACGCTTTCCTTTCGGTCTCGTTAGTCCGACAAATTGCCGAAACAAACGCCTGCGTATCGATCCGTGAACGTTCGTTTTATTTGCGCAAGCAAATTAATGCTCATTGCTCTCTCTTGCGAGCTCTGCTCATTAATGATGAAATTATTCACCGCTCGCCTATAACGCCACGTGCAACGAATTGCTAATGCGACAGAAAGAAACGCGTTTAAGAGAGAAAGAGAAAGAGAGAGAGAGAGAGGACACACGCAAAAAGATGCCGAGTATATTAATTGTATTAATTTGATCTCCCGCGTTATCTTATTGTCTCTTTTTTTTAAATCGCGATTCATATCATTGTAACGTCCGTTCTTTTTTTTTATTCTTTAAAACTCTCCGCGTTTACCGTTTTGCCTCTATAACTCTATAGATCTCTTTCTTCTCCTCATTAAGAGAATAATTTAATTGTTATGTTGTTCGCGCATAAACGACCGATGTCACGAATGTTTAAAAAAAACTTCGTTTGCGGTTTAATCGTGGAAACTCATTCTCCCGCCCGCTACATTGTGCGGTTTACCGTGACGAAAGAGCAGAATGGGCAGAGGTACGCGAAATACGAAATATTCCCGAATAGCGGACAGTTTCCATTGTGCGTAAATTTTATCCACTAGAAAACAATCGGGGACCTCCTTTCGACGTACGAAACGGATTAAACTTGGATGTGAATTACATTTCGCCGAGGAATGCCCGTGGGAGATTCCAGCGGCAATCGGCACGCGTTACAGTTTTCGAAAGCCGTCGATCGCATTTAATCAGCGTCCTTTATCGCGGTATCTCGCGCGTGTCCATCCACTCGAAACGCTCCTCTTTTTTTTTTCTTTTCTTTTATATACCCGCAGTCGTGTCGCGTTCTTCGCTGCCGTTATACGTCGCATCCGTCGCGGGTACATATTCAGCAACGTGAGATACATATTCTAATGAAGCGTAATGTCTAACATCTGATGCCCGAAGCGTGCGGTGTCCGCTCGCGCGCACGCGCGCTCGGACGCGCGAGCGAGCGGGCGCAGTTTGATACGGCCTTGCAAATGCAACCGAGATAACGGCTCCGTATGGTCGGTTTGTACCGAATGACCCAATTTCACCAGTGTCGTATGGCATACGTGCGATAACTGTTGCGGCACAAGCACCGACGCGCGGACAAGATCGAGCACGTGAAAGGAAAATACGTAGGTAGGCAGGCAGGCAGGCAGATAAGCGGTCAGCTCCGCCATGGACCGATGCACGGACATCCAGGAAGACGAACAAATAAACGCGCGCGCGCGCCTCTCCTTGAATTATCTATCTCCTCGCGCCCCACCTAAATCTCCCTATCTGTCTCGACTTTGAATGTTTCGGACGCGGGAAAAACGCGGTCGACCCGCTTGACCGCGGAGGGAAAAGATCGCGCGGAGATTGCGCGGCTGGCCGGTGAACGCGAAAGGTCGGTCGCCTCTGTCGGAAAAAAAAAGGACTTTTGCGAGGACGGAGAGCGACCTCGCGAAGGCTCGCGCGGCTGCACGACGAAAGGGGCACAACACACGTGGAACGAGGAAGGACGCTATAATTGGAAAACGTCTCGTACATACATTTCACGTACAACGGAAACTCCATACGCGATTTCGCCGATCCATCGTAACGCAACCGCGGCTGTATTGCGGCGCACTCCGGTCGCGACGTCGTATTTCCATGCCTCCCCGTCTCTCTCCACGAGTCGAACTTGACATGTAGCAATTACCTCGGTCGCTCTCCGATATTTGCATAATTTCGCACGATAGACGGTTCTTCTTCTTCTTCTCGGACAAACGAGAAATTATATTTCCTCTCGTTATTAACCTTACATTATCGCGTCCGAAAAAAAAGTTCGCATTTCATTTAGCCGTAAAATACGAAGAATATGAAGACGTAAAGTGTGACGTAGGCAGACAGAAAATTATAGGGAGAGGAAAGATATATAGTATGATAAAAGAGAAGCTGTGGACTGTACGAGCTTCGTCTCGCGCGTACGCGACGAAATGGCGTGTACTTGAGCTCAAGCACGAACTTCAACCGCGCTCAGAAAAATCTAATTACCGTTGCGAGAGCGAGAGCTCTATCCTGTTCAGGTCATTCCGAAGTAACATTCGGACAGTATTAAACTGTGGAAAATGCGTTACGTTCTACATATCATCCCGTCCGCGTCGCGTAAATATCTCGGCAAACCGCAGACATACGCGATCTATAATCCTTTCCCTCATTCGATGACATTCGACGCGGAAAAGCGAAAGCGACGATTTTTCGAGGGAAAACGGGATGAGATCAAAAAAAAAAGGAAGAAGACATGATGCAAACGCAAGAAAGTAAACGCAAAAGTGAAGACACCGCGCGTTGAGCTACTTTTCGAAAAATATCTCGCGTTTCTTGAAATCCGCTTTAGACAGTCTATGTTAATTCGCATTGGAATTCAGAATAGAATTCCTTTGCTAAATTTTATATGCTGTTTAATATGAAAAATATTTTAATTAGAATACACACATATACAAAGTATATTAAAACATACGTACGTTTATATATGTATGTGTACTTTGCGCATGTATGTAATTATAAATAGAATTCCATCTTGAAATCTAATGCAAATTACGTATCGTTTAAAGCAGCCCTAACGGGACAGAAAAGAAAATACAACTGCTCTAGTTTCTGACACGATACGCGTTTTATTCGCAGGTACTAAGCGACGTTAAAAGAAAGCGTCGTTTACACGCAGTAACAACTCCTCGAAGAGAGACGCCTTACACGCGAAAATACGATAGCGGAAGCGGCTACTTTCCGTAACATCGATACTAAGGATGCGGGCTATTCAGTGTTACATTTGTCTCGCGTTGCTGCTGATGACAGCGTCGGCCGTCCCGGCGTCGTCAAAGGGTGACTCAGCCAAGGTGAAGAAGACCACGACGATGGCGGTTGGAGGAATCAAGAACGCCTCAACGGTCACCGCGACGACGGCGGCGTCGTCGAGGCCGATCGCGAATGCCACGTTACCTTCGTCGTCGTCCTCGATCGCGACGACGACGACGACGACGACGACGACGGCAACGGCGTCGCAGACGGCGGCCACGTCCGCCACGACGACGCTGAAACTGCCGGCAGCCTCGTCGACGACGATCGTGGCGGCGGCGGCGGCGGCGGCGGCGGCGACGGCGGCGGCGACGACAGCGAGGACGACGAGAACGACGGCCGTGTCGCCGTCGTTAACGTCGTCCACGGCGAGCCTTCCGACCTCCCGCAATCCGCAGGACGGCTCGAGCCCCACCTACATCACCGAGACGTCACCGAGGATAATCTCGCCCACTCAGCACACCGCAGCCACGGTGCTGTCATCGAGGAAATCAGCGGCCGCCGCAACCGCCGGCGTAGCCGATGTCACGACCACCGCGCCTTTGACGGCCAAGGAGACGCGGGAGTCGCCCGGAAAGATTAGACCGCAAATCAAACTGACGACAAATTACACCACCACCAGCGAGGTAAGTGCATTAATTCTAACCGATCGACCGATCGACCGACCGACCGACCGACCGGTTGACTGCCTCCGTCTCTCTCCTCCACCTGCACCTGCGTCTCTGCCAGTCGTGTTTCTCGCATTGTTCCGTTTATTTTGCCTTAACTGCCGCCGGTCTTAACTATCCACGGCACAGATTCCCCGGCTTGTAATCGCTTTGCATGATGAATGGTCGCGAGCTCAACAGAATATCGAGTCCTAATTGGCTTATATACGTTAAGCCGGTCGCGCCGACGCGACCGTATACCGCCGCGAATTCTGCAAAATTCCGCGACCGCTGCTTTAATACAGTCATATACAGGCCGCTAAATGGCTGCGAAATGATTTTCAAAATATGTCGAGACATCCTGCACGGTTTAACGTAAAGATTGAGGCAGCGTGTCATCCGGTGAATTTCGCTAGAAAATCAGAAATCATCCGGAAGACAAGCGAGGAAGTCCTCCTCCTGAGAGAATGTAGCAACTGGTGAAAACACCATCATAGCGACGAGAGAAATATTCTCGTTCGTATTGCTGTTCATTCAACGTCTCGCGCCGTTTCGCGGAACGTGGATAAGTAGTAAGTTGTAATACGTTTCATTACGTTTTATGCCCCGCCGTATAACTCGGATAATTCCATAATTAGAGTTCCCTTCTTTAATTTATGCGATGCGAGAGAGAGATTAAACTCCAGGTTCATCGAATAATATCTGCAACTCCATTAGGGAAAAAATTCCACACGGTTTTCTCATAAGCGCCGGTATCCTAGATCCTAACAAATTACTCCGAGTAGATAGAAAAAGAATATAGTAGCTGAGGGAGGAGGGGGGGAGGAAGGGGGAAGGGGGTAATGGAGGAAGCTAGGAGAAATTTATTACTTCATAACATTCACGCTTATCGAGCAAGTTAGACGCGCTACAAAATTCCTGAAGTGCCGACAGAACTCTTTCTTCCCTCTTCTCTTTTTCTCGTAATCGGGGAAAAAATGCCAAATCTACCGCGTGCCATTCCACGCTCGTCCGCCTCCCCCACCCCCCCATATACTTTAAGCGAGCGCAGAAAAGCGTGTACCCGATGATGCGCGATAGAAAGGAACCCAGATTCGAGTTATACAGCCGACACGGAGGATCGTATGGGGTTCGAGAAAAAAATCCCATATAGGTCGACCGAGAAAGTAGCGTGTGCACCGTAACGTACCTCCGCGCACGTAGAAAATATACGTATACGTCTAATGCGCCCGGCGCGCCGAGCCGTGCGTCGTCGACGACGACGACGCGAGCGTGGACGGATACGCGTGTGCAAAATGGCAAAAACGAGAAAGTAATCGGCATTCGGATACGGACTGGACGTCGTTACGGGACACATCGTAATTATCCAAGTTAATCGAGTGTGTTGCACCGCGCCGGCGCGGCGCGTTGGTCGCTCCGAATCAGGCAATTGGGTCACACCTTAGGCAAATCTTCCATAGCCAGGGGGAGAAATCATTTCTTTTCTTCCCCGTGTTTTCCTTACGCATTCAGACCCGTGCAAGTCGTCTCTAATTTACATGTCTTCAGACCGTCTTCCCGCGTCTCTCTTCCTCCCGCCATCTCTCTCTCTCTCTCTCTTTCTCATTTCCTCCATCCGCGCCGAGGTAACGGCGGTACATATCGATGGTATACGAAACCGTTGAGTCATTTACGATCAAATAAGCGAACATAACGCGTCTTGATTACAAACGAACGATTTCGTTCCGCGGAATACGGTAAATGCGCCGTGCGCTCGCGCGCGCGCGCGCGCGCACTCGAGGTAACGGGGTGCGCGGAGTCATTAATAATAATTAAGTATTCTAACGTATCCGTAATAATCGCGCGCGCGAACGCTAACGACGGCAATGCGTAAATTGAGTATGTAATATCTCCGCGGAGTGATGGAGTTATCTGTCCTGTCCGCCTGGGTCTCGCGGACGCGCGAGTACGCGAAACCGGCGCGCGCGCGCGCACACGGTCGAGCGACGAAGATTACACCGAAAGAAAGCCCCCATTACGTTGCAGTTAAGAATCACCATCACGTCTCAATTCGTAGCGAGCGACAGTCGAGCGTTGTTGCGCCATGCGAACGGTGTCACGAACGATTTTACATGGGGTTGCGTCAAAACATATGCCACTTCTCGACCCGGCTCTCGCCTGTAAGTCTCGGCGGTCTAAATTGTACACCTAATAGGAGAAAGGAAGGGAGACGAAAGGAATCTCCCTTCGAATAAGAATAAGATATGCGTCTAATTAGGAGTAAATTTAATCAACTGCGATTTAATTAATTTCCCCCGTCAGTACGTAACACTGCACTCGCCGGCGAGTGTGATATAATAGAGACAGGAAGAAAATTCAATTAACCACGGCTTAATTATCCGTGATTAATTGAATTCACTTCCTCTATCTGTATCGTGGCCGGGGCGCTATGATCTGAAAAGAGGGATGCGGGAGGGAGGGAGGGAGGGGGGAGGAAGGAGAATCGCCATAGACCGCGATTAAAGTTAACCACCGACGCCGCACCGGTGAAAATCGGCCGGGCTGAAGACCGGGCTTCGTCGACGGACGGGACTTAATTGGTGTACGGCGTCGTATATATACGCGCGCAACACGTACGGCGGCGGCGCTCCGGCGGGGAAGTCGCGGGTGCCGGTGCCGCGCGCGGCAAAACTGGTACAAATGAACATACAATGTGTGCATGTGAAAGAGGGACTCCGGGCGCGTAATTGCGGGTTGCGGAGGTGATACGAGTCGCACCATTCATCCCGATATCGAATGAAAATCGCTGGGAACCGTTCGCGTGCGCGAGCGTGCGCCTCCACTGCAGCACGAGGAGAGGAGGTATATACCGATTTCTTTAGCCCCGGATCTAGCGTATGGGAAATCGGATGTCCCGCGTCACTAGGGCGGGAAAAGTGAAGTAAGACAGGCCATTTTTCTTCGCCGTTGGGAAAAAAAAAGAGGCGAGGCCGCTCCCCCCCCCCCGAGTCGCGCGCAACGGGCTCTCTCATCATGCCGAGCGCAAAACGGCTAATTTCCACGACGATTTCTTCGACCGGGGGGGACAGATAGGCGCTTCTTCCGATTTATATACGTATCGTATAGGGAAGGAAGCACGCTCGGTCAGACACGATTATTACAGCGCGCACACGGTGTGCATCAGTTACGGTTGTCCAGAGGTATAACGATCGGTATAGACGCCCGTTGTCGAGCTGAAATTTCAGACATGACTAGCGTGCTCGTGACATCGGCACGAATCCCCGATCTTACCGCGCGCCATAAATCGGCGCCGTGCTCTGTTTCCGATCCCTGATGTTATATAATTCCCCATCCGTTTTGACTTATTATCGCGCGAGCATTATTACCTCGTACTTTCATCTTGGTCGAACAATGACCGAATCCGCCGGAATATATAATGTGTCGTTAAGTGTCTTGCCTTAATCGAAAACATTTATCGAGGGCGAACACCTGGTAGATATTACCCCCACCCTCGGCCGATAGCGGTATAAAATACCGACATCCTGTGTATACGTAATGTAACTATATTGCAAAATAAAGCGGGCACGCCGGTCGTTATCGTGGAACTTTCCGCGCGCGGCACGGCTTTTAGGAAGGCGTATTTTTCAAACGGTGCAAATCGTAATTAGAGCCGCGAGCCGAAGTAGCGACCGCCGAACGTGTATTAAGATTGGAAATAATCTCGCTTCCTAATAAAGGCAGAAATCTATTACCCGCGCGGATTCGCGATGATTCGAGAGATGAGCCTACTTGGCTCTCCACGATAACGTCGTAATTTCCGTCCCGTGAGTATTTGGGATACTGCTGCGCTTCGATTGCGGCTATCGCGGCTGTCCGTCCGCGGCACCGGCAGCATTGTGGCGATATAATCCTGACGTTTACGATTGGCCTCTTTTAGCCGGCGGCCCGTGGCGCGTTAGCGCGATAGCGAGCAAGATAGAAATAAGAGAAGCTCGCTTAACGGTCCCGAATAGGAATTTTGCCCCCTAGCTCGCGCTATACGCGCGCTTCCGAGTTACGCGTAACGGAGCGTCGGCCCAGCACACGGTTTTCCGAAGGCGGTGATGTTGTGCGCGGCGCAACGAAATTAGAAATTATGAAATCACAATAAAAATTCTAAGGCATCATAACGGAAATGGGCCCCCCCCCATAACCGTAACGAGATTCCTTCGACGTCCCAAGCCTCGGAATTTATGATAAAAAAAGTCTGAGACGACGGGGGGGTTCGGTTTGCGAAGCGCCGCGTGCTCTGCCGGCTGACTTGGCAAAAGAATCGCTCGACGATCGAACCGGCTATTCGATCTTCGCCGCGCATTAGCCAAGTCAGCCTTACACGTAATATCGCGGTTTCGGTATTCAATATTTATTGCTTTCACGCGTTTCACCCGTGAGATTAAGTAATTCCGTATATCTCTCAGGATCGCTCGCTAGAAAGTGCACGCCGTAATTGAAGCGAGTGAACGACGACGCCAACGAGGATGCCACGAGGTTCGCCCCGTTCCTTGACACTGAAAAATTCGCGTGTTACCCATTTCCGTTTCTCATCGAATGTAAAGGATTTTCTCCCTTACGCATAATAATCATCGTGCGACGCGCGATACGTCGGAATAACGCGATAGCCGTCGTTTCGTGCGCGGCTAATAATAGAGCGCGCTGGATATGTACACTCGATGGCATTTTCTACGCACAGCCGTTTTGTTGTTGATCCAACAAAAACAGCCGTGAAAAGAGCGCAACGGTAAACGGGACCGTTGGTTTCTTTTCCCCGAAGGTTAATAATTGTATTGTAAAAGGATCTCGGAAACGCGACATCCGCGACGGTTCGTCACGACGGGCTCGTCGTGATAACCGAGGCTACAACCGCAGAAATTACCCGTTGGATAATGACCGTCTAATTCCTAAACGGACGGCGCGATACACCGCAATTACGAGCGATCATGTTGCCTTACACACTCGATGCGACACTCCATCCGATGCGCCACGATTTACGGCGGGTTTCCTTTGGATTTTACGACCTGCGGTAATTTCGAAAAAAGAGCCCTTGGTGTCCTTTTTCGTGGTGTCCAATGTCCGAAAAACTTTGTATTCCGGATGTCGTTCGAGGCGACGCAGTTCGGTTTGTCATCAATTTGGCGTCCAGTGTAAAATATAATATTTGCGTGCAACTTGCTTACATTTTAAATCAATATCACTTTTATATTTTAACCGACAGGTATGACTCGCTTGCTTTGTACGTCAATTTTCTTTAAGAAACTTTAAATTACGGGTATCTGCGAGTACGACGATCCCGTGTAAACTATTATGCTCCTCTGAATTTTAAATCGCGAGGTCGCATTCCTCGCGCGAATATACGCGCCAACCGTGGCGCGGCCGTTTCTCACGTTAATCGAGCCATTTAATCAATCATCTCCCGCTTAAAAATTCACGTCCGAGGACTGCCGATGCGCGTTGCACTCCGCCTGGACGCCGATACCATTAGCTCGACGAATCTACGAACGGCGAAAGGAGGGCGAGCGTTCACGGTCGTGACGCAAACGGATCAGCCGGTGCTAATATCGGTAGTGGAACGTGACGATACCGAGACGAAAAGAAAATGCGAAGGAAAATAAACGAAAAGACGCGCGAGGGGGCGGGGGAGGGGGGGAAGAGAGGAAAAGGAACAAGGGGGAAGAGAATAGCGGGCGATGGGCCGGTATCGCCACGGACAATTTACCGCGGCCTATTCCCTGGCTTTAATCGATTCAACTCCGTGTGCCACTTCGCGTTGCATTTGTCCACAGACAGTAAATTCGAGCCGAGTGTTCTTCCTTCGGCGTCTGCATGTATATAGGCAGAATAAAGGACGGTGAATCAATTAGCGGTTCCGCTTTAATCGCGACGCCTACCGCCCACGGCTGAGGCCGTATAGAGGATGCTGCGCGAAGCTTCTCGCGATCGCGCAGAGAAGCGAAACGTCGACGGTGCACAATGTAAAGGAGACGAGATGGAAGAAGAGAGACAGGCGTAGAGTATTTCATCAGTATGTCATCTAATTATGTCTTATTTTTTTTTACCGCGAGATCTCTCGGATCGCAGATTAAATGGTAATGATGCTCGTCGTACATTTTTGCATCACGACTTGTGTAATTGCTTCTTTCACTTGCAATTTTTATCGTGTGCTTCGAATGTAGGTATTTATAGCCGCCAGTTATTAGCGAATATTAGTGCCAGCTATTTCAAGGAGGTCGGTATTTTTATTGAATTATGCTCGCGACTTTAATCACTGCGGGCCTCCAGGCGATCACCCATCTCGGAACGCCTTTTCAGCTTACCCGACTTTATTATTTCGTACACCAGACCTATCTCTTCTTCATCTCGCCGCTTCTTCTTCGAACCGCTATACTCACGAGCGACAAACGGACGGACTTTTCTACAGAGTAAATACTTAGGTATGCGGACGTGGGACGCGGAAAGATAACAGAGAGAAAGAGAGAGAGAGAGAGAGAAGAAAAAAAACAGGGAATTGTAACGTCCGAAAGAAGAATCGCGCGAAGTAAATCCGGCTAAAGTGGACTCCAAGGCGAGGAACTCGAGGGAACGCGATCGCGTTTCGGTCAACGACCGCTTTATAAACGAGCGTTTTGTAGCCCGAGCCACGCTGGTGGATTACGCGGCACGCGATGACATTATTTTCGAAGTCGGGCGGTTTTACCGTCTCTTCTCTCCTCCTCGCGGGGAGGGGGGAGGGGGGTTGACCCGGCCGCGGAATCGGCCAGGTGACGCGGCGGATCATCGCCGATTATGGTCGCGGCGGCCGGCATTATCGCCGGTTTGTATCGCGCCGCGGAGACTCGCTTGGAAACGAGAGAAAAAAGAAAACAAAAAAAAAAAGAAAAAGAGGAGGACGAAGTTCGTCGAGGTTCCTGACGGATCGCGCAATTAGCGCGTTCACCCGTGACTGGCACCGCGTCGAGCGACGCTATCGGATGCTCTCGAAACGGGGCATTTCGGACACGCTTCTCCGGGAAGCCGTGGAATCTTCGTCGTCCTGTCAGCGTTCTTCCGCGAACCGCCGCCGCGTCGCGGTTTTTCCCTTCATTCATGCTCGACCGAACGCTTTACCGCAGGATGCGGTCGATTCCCGAGACGACCGAGAAGTATCCCGACCCTTTTCTCCTCTCTCGTAAGGACACACCGTTGACTTTGCGCTCCGCTAAAAACCGCGCCGATTAGCGGTCGCGCGCTCATCCTTACGTTCTCTCGCGCGAGAGCGCCTTACCTTCTTATTTCGCCAAAATATAGAGGGAGGGAAGGATTTATTTACAACCGCCGCGGGAAGTTTTTACTTCGAAATCTTAATTTCCGTTTTCAGAATCTCTCTGTGTCGCACCGGCACTCGATCGCCTTATCGGAAAGCGTGTTAATATTTGATCTCTCGCAAATCCCCGAAGGGCCGAGAGATAAAATCCATACGCACGTGTGCGGACACGACTGTTTATTCGTTTCCTCGGTTTCTGACGCTTTTCGAGAGGTAGGGATCGGGCGAGATGATAGCGACGACGTAAACGAGATAAACGGATAAACCGGCCGTAAAGAAGAGCGGGACCCAGGCGAAGGCAGAGAGGGCTATCGTCGACGGACGGGGCGCATAGTCTCACGTTCCAGGAAGTTGGCCGACGATGGATATCCGCGCGCGCGCGCGCGCGGACCATCTTGTACTCTATCGATACACAGCGTACCTCGGCCTGATGGCCGCGCTGCTGGTCTTTCTTTCGTCTCCTCTCTCGACTCTCCGCGAGCATTCCGCATTTTTTTGCATGCCTTATTCCTCTCCTCCACGTAGTTCGCCTCCTTTCTAACAATTTCCATCACGCGATTGGCACCGTGTAACTTCCCATCCCGAGATAAATACCGAATACCCGTCCCGGCGAGACCGACTTGTCACTTTTTGAGACAGTTGCATCTCGCACTTGGGGAGGCGGATTATCGACAGGCGGAAAATTTCCGTGATGTAACGAATATCGTTATGCCCCTTTTTCGGGGAGAGGAACGCAGGTTTTTTTTTTCTCACGCGTAAGTCGGCATCTAACGAGATCGAATCGATCCTGCTGCAGCAGGAGTGAAAATTGGAGTCTCGTCTCTTCGAGAGCCCCTCTCTTCATTTGCATATCACAATTAAGCGAAACAGGATCATAAAGGGAAAGTGTAAATTCGCAGAAGTGAAAAGCCGCGCACAATCGTCTCCCGTGACATAGAAACATTGTTAATGAGGTACCACGCGTCGTCGCAAACGAGAAGCCTCGTTTACGACGCAATTATCCTTACGAGTAACGATGTGCTCGTTCGGCCGATCGGAGTGCAGATCTATATGCCGTCGCAATAAGAGAGAAAACAACAATTTTTCATAATCGGACCAGCTTCTCCGCGACACGCTATAGAGATCGCTCTTATTTCCCGGAGAATGTCTCCTTCCTAGAAAACATCTCCGTGTTTATTCCGTGATTGGAGGATGCAAACCTCCGCGCGAGGGGGAGGGGGGGGGGGAAGTTGAGCAAACACGTGGATTACAGCTATGTCAATCGACGAAAGAGCGCGATGTTACTTTCTAGGAAGAGACTTTGTTCTAATCATAGAGCCTCGCTCGAAATCGGATCTACGGGATTACTGCTGCTCCGATACCCGGAAGGTCGTTTACTCGTCACGCCCATTCCTCGTAAAATCGCGCGATATATCATTACCGGCGTTATTGCCAAAGTGCACGGGGTGGTCTTATCGATGCCATTTTTGCAGACTGGGGTACGGCTGCCGGAGGGAGCGAGCGCGGCACTCGCGAAACCGACCAAGTATCACTACTACCCGCACAATCAGCATATCTACTTGCTGCCGGAGTGCGCCGTTCAGCAGGTGTGCAACGCCGTTTACGTTCGGCTCAACTTCACGCAACCGCTGTGCGCCTGTCCCGGAAGGTATCGGGACCCCTGCAGCGCGTCCCTGGACAGCGACGACCTGCACACGACCGAGCTGGTGACCGATCCGCGGACCAAGGTCAGTGGAAGAACTCTTTCTCTCTTAGCGAACGAGAAGAGCGATCCAACGAGTTTCGTCATCCCATTGTATCTCAAAAGTCTATTTCTAATTAATAATCATCATCCTTCGTTCGGATTCTCACTATTAAGACGGAGACCACCGAGGACATCGGCGCGCGATCTAACAAACGCACGATCGCGGGATATTTTTAGCAGATTTTCCGCCGCAAGAAGGAAGGGAAAGAAATCACGTGGGAACGGCCGGTTCGCTCGTTTACGCGCCCGCGAATCGCGGATAAAAACGAACGTGCGTAAACGATCGTCGGGGTTTCCGTTCCGCGGGGCCGCAAAACTAAAAGTTGCCGTTCCTCCGCAGCGCGAGCGATGTTTTATTTTAACGTCGTTTCAAGCGTCGTGCTATTACGGAAACGGTACCACGGAGGCATGGCGCCATTCCCGGCGAGAACCGACCGGCCGCTGCTGCTGGCTCGCTCGGAGGAGCGCCTCTCTCGAGGCGCTCTTAACGCGAGTTTCCTGCCGTGAGAAAAACTCGTTCACTTTCGTTCGGTGTATTAACCGTGACTTGCACACTGACGAATCCGAGACGGCACGGGAAGGACGATATTTTAGGAGCGAACCGAAATATTCGTCACGATCCGTCCACGTAACTTCCCGTAGTTCGTTCCCGCGCGCGCGCGCACCGCTTTCACATAATTTCAGTCTCGATCGTTATATACCTGCGGCTTTATTATTATAACGTACCGTAAAACGTAGCGTTACCGCGCGCCGGCGACGTTACGGCTTTCGCAATAAAGAGAGGTTCTCGAACCGCATGATACTCGCGACGAGATAATCAATGTAATCAATGACTGCTCAGACACGCTAATCGCATCCCACTCAAGTGACACGATAATGCTTCATCTTAAACTGTTAAAATAGCTCCGCTCCTAAACGTGACACGTATTCCCGTTTAACGGGATTACGTAACGTGCGGTTTATCTTAAGCGGAAGGAAGAAATCTGTGTACTCAAAAAAAAAAAAAAAAAAAGAAAGAAAAAAAATTTACGACGCCGCTCATTGTGGCCGACGCTTATATTCCAGGCCTTGACCTTGGTGAAAACGTGCGAGCCGGTCGCCGAGATGCGAGAGTGCAGAGCGTCGCGGGACTGGTCCCTGTTGGCGTTGCAGAACGTGCGTACGGGAAAGTCCCACTATCTCGTGATATGCCGATGCCCCGACACAAACATACTCGGTGAGTGAAAGACTCCGAAAACTTTCGGTTTAGTTGACCTAATTGGCGAGGATCGAAGATCGACGGCCGCGTGAAATTCAGATTCGAGTTCGAATGCGACGTGGAGAGGGCTCCTGAGTTATTACACGTTACTCTGATAGCGTGATTGGGACAGAGGGCCTCTCGAATTTTCTTGATACTCCGACGAAAAAGCAGCGATTCACGTAACTCTACGTCTTTTTTCTTTTTCGCAGAGGGACCTATGAGCCACGATCAGCCAACCTACGCCAGCGTCCCGGGCATTCGAGTGTACGGAATGATGTGCGTGCAGGGAAACCGAAGGGGACGACCACTACGACATTCACGCAGTGTTTCAGGTACAATATTCTAGATCCTAAAATCGTTTTTTTTTTTATCCCGGATTTTTCGGATACGAATTTTACGACTGACACGTGCGTTCGATGTGTTGAACAGGATACGCAGAGGATGAGAAGAAACCACGCTTCCCTTGGGACAAGGTGCGACAGCTGATGGCGACGCCGTCTTTTTGGGAATAGTTTCTGCGCAACGTGACGTTTCCCACGTATCTGCCATCGACGAATTTACGCGTTAATTTATAATGCTATTATATTTATAATTCTCCCAGCCATTCGAATCCCATGCCTCGAACTCTCTTTCATCCTCCTACCATTTTCCCTCTTTATTACTCTCACGCTTTCTTAAACCCTCGAACGGGCGCACCGTGGTGTAGAATAATGTAAATTAATATTAATTTATTCGTAATTATTCGCCTCATATCATGTAATTTCGACGAATTACGAATTATTTCGCTCCATTATACGCAACAATTATCGATTATCTAAAGTAAAAGCGGAGGAACGGTAACTTTTGGAAGCTTCGCGTATCCGCACACACCAGCGTGTCCGCACGAGGGTCGATAGACACGATAGGACGAAATCGTCTATGTCACTTGTACTCTCATCTCCACTTAATTACTCGTTTTAAGAATATTTATTATTCATGATTTCTGTATTATTTATAATTTGAGCTGTCGATTTATTACACACGATACACAATTCGATAAACCGCGAATTGCAATGAGGAAAGACGAACGACTTTGCCGTCTACTCAAATGTAAAAAGCTGTCTGATCTTAAGCGCGTAATCTTAAAAGAACAAAAAAGAAAGGATAGGAATATATGTGGTACCTGAATTTTCGATAGGCAAGATCTTATAATCGACATTCTTTTCTCTCATTATCAAATAAAATACTCAAGTAAAATCGGCATTCCAAAAGGTACCTGTTCGCTTTTCCAATTTAGAGTCAACGCACGATGTTAACGCGATTAGGAAACGAAAGACGTAAATACTTTGAGTCACACATTTGCGACTACGTGACTTAAGAGAAGCTCGGGGATGTACGTGCTCGAATTTAACGATATTTCAGATTGTATTAATAGGTACGTGAGAAACGAGCTAATCAGTAAAACATAAACAATTACACATTAACAATTACTCACCGAGAACGTCGGAGTTGACTAAAACGCTACAGCTGTACATCGCCGTCATCAGTCGGGGGTGTCGCAGACTGAAGATCCGTCGACAAGCGTCTTTACACGCCGACATTAATTGACCGCCCATTAAGTGTCCCTGGCTCTGGCCACCGGAATCGCTGCAACGTTTCGTACATCTTATATCATACATTTTTTTATATGCGCATATTTAGCATCCATTCTCAATTAAATTCTTCAATAACTCGGCCAATTACGACCTCCTTGCTTAATTCCACTCAATATAAAACGTCAGTACTTATAATATATTTCCAGAAACGAAGCTCAATTGCAACGCTCGTATCTACTTTGTTGTAAGAATATTTGTTAACTGATTCAAGACATTTACTTTTACGTAATAATTATTAATGCGAATATTTATTAATCATTAATGCATGTTTACCTTTGTGACATATCAAAAATTTCCCACTTCTTCAACACAAAGCAAACGCCCATCATAGGCTCCTCGCATAAAGGACCAGCCAGAGTAGCAAGTTGAAATCCATTGACTATACTGTTATCATATCTGAAAAATTTAATAACATATATTATTATCATTCGGAATAAGTTTCAAGGAGGTAGTCAAAGCATACATTTCATTGATATTTATTTTTTGCATTATATATATATATATATATTATAAGTATTTATTCGTTGCGATAAGTTTATATCAAATTATATTTATCGTATCTTGAACGCTCGTTTATTTCAAACGAGATATGTACAATAAAAAAAGCTTTTGTGTCAATATCTTTTTGAGTACTTACACCGCTCGGGAATCGCCATTCGTGTTTTGCTGCTCCCAGAACTTCTTTTGCCTGTAATCAGTCTCGTTCAACAAGATATTGGACCCGCATTTTCGTGGACCGAACGACCATATTTTATCCAGTATATTATCCTTCCATCCCGCTTCGAGGAAAGCTGCTCCCAATTCGTTCTTGAATATCTTTGCTTCCTTTTGTTTTCTATCAGAAATGGACCTCTCGTTAAACTGGTTCCCGTCTGAGATATCCTCGTATTCCCCATTCTCCTCTGTGTATCTGTTGCAGTAACTGTCCAACAACTTTATCAGATTCGCATTCTTCTCCAATAATTTCGTTACGTTTTCCGGAAGAGATTTCGCATCTATCTCAAAGCGACACTGCCGATTCGACGTCCAGATCTCGAGGTTGACTTCCGCCGCCTTCTTCTCGATCGCCTCGTTCACCATGTCGAGCTTCGGCGGTGGCACTATGGTCTCGCGAAACGGCACGATCGGATCGGACACGTTAACGTCGATCTTGGCGTATCTCAGCTTGAGATCCTCCAGGCATCTCTCCAGATGGACCTCACCGGCGGTGCTCAGGACGATCTCGCCGGTCTCCTGTATGTGAACGATGGCGCAGGCGTCTGCTTGGTTCAACAGCTTCAGGCCGTTGATGAGCCTCGGCAAGTCGTTGGGATGTTTCGGCTCCAGGGCGACTCTCAATATAGGAACGGCGAGTGAAGTCAACTCCGTGAACGAAGGACAGGCGATGGTCGTCGAGAGGGTCGCGGTCTTCAGGACGTGCTCCTCCAGGCCGCCGATCCCGAAGACATTGCCCACCGGCACCTTGCTCACGGCCTCCAGCTCTCTTCCCATGAGAATGTACAATTTATTTACCGTCACCCTCGTGATATGCCGGCCGGGCGTCAAATCCTTCAGCACGAGGGACGGATCCACCACCTCGCCTGCTCTCTCGCGTTCCAGAGCAACGGTGGGATTATGCTTCGGTCCTAAGGCGAATACCTCGTCTCCGATCTTGATGGTTCCCGAATACACTCTCGCGAAGGCTACCAACGTGCCGTCCGACTTATCCTCGGTGACGTCCTCGTGGTTTGCGTCCTGAACGTTGTTGGAGACTACCGTATTTTCCTCGTGATTCTCAATGGTAGTAGAAGGTTTTTGCTCCACCAGTCGCTCTGCATGCTTCTGCCGAACGATTTCTCGTCTTTGTGCCAATTCCTCCGGCGTCAGGGACTTCGGTCTGTTCTCAGGCAACATGTCTCTCTCCACCGGAAACATTTTCGATATGAATACGATGATCGGCGCTTCCGGCGATGGACTGCACGACAGGAATGCTCTCTTCAGTTGCTGCGTTTCAAGCGGTAATGCGGAGAAGTCGTTGTTCCCGCTTATCAGTCGCTCGATTTTCTCGTCGGTTAAATTGTGCGGCGACGGAACCTTTTCGCACACCATGTCGAGACAATTTTGCGCCAGAGGTAGCCACTGCGAGCAAACGGCTTGCAGCTGCGCCTTCGTATCTGTGTGCCTCAAGTCACGCGTTGTCAGTTTGATGTTTAACTTTTCAGCTATAATCGGCAACTTATCCTTGTCCTTCCGCACCACTATGGTCTCGTACAACGCCCAGATATTATCTAAAATCAGCTGCACAAAAAGTGGCTTCTTCGCCTTCTCCTGAGCCCCCTTCATGATCCTCTTCGTTTTGTTATTCACGTAAAAATCCCCCCACAATGTTTTACGCAGGACCTTCTCGCTGAATCCCAATTTGTTTGAGTAAATTTTCGCGAATTCCTTGATATCAAATCCCCAGCCGTCGATTGCACTGGTGAATAGAACGTTTCCTTGTTCCGGGGAGAAATATAAATTCGAATCGTCTATCTCCTCCAATACGGACTGCCAGTCGGCCAGATCCCTCTCGTTCACCTTGTCCGAGGACGCAGGATGTGCGACCGTCTCCTCGCGTTCCTCACGCTCCATCACGTCGTTCGCGAACAACTCGCCCATGATCGCGTTCACCTGTTCCAGGACTTGCGTCAAACGTACGTAGGCGTCCAGCGGCGTTAATTTCATTTCCATGATCAACCGGTCGACTTTATTAAGTACCAGAATAGGTTTCAAACCCTCGACGTAGGCTATGGACAGGGCGCTGCGTGTCTGCGGGCACACGCCCTCCACCACATCGACCAGGATGACAGCTCCGTCCGACAGTCTGACCGCTGTCGAGACCTCAGAGGCGAAGTCCACGTGGCCCGGGGAATCGATCAGATTTATCACATGATCCGTTTGGTTGTGCACGTGGTACAGCGTTATGGAGCTGGACTTCATCGTGATGCCGCGCATCTGCTCGTCCGGTCTGCTGTCCAGGTATCTAAGCTTGCCAGCAAGCTTGTTGGATATGATGCCGTTGCTCGCGACGAGAGAATCCGCCAGGGTGGTCTTCCCGTGGTCCACGTGCGCCAGGATGCATATGTTCCTGATACGCGTGGCGTCATTCTGTATCTCGCTAAGCCTCTCCACGCTGATGAAGCGCATCGTTACTCGGACAAGACAACGAAGGGGAAGTATATAGCTCGGCCGAGTATGTACAAATATACATATATATATACTCTCCTACGTATCGTAATATACGCTCTACAATACCAGCGATTGCGATTAACGAGTGTCGAAACGAGTGACGCGGCAATGCGCGTGCAATATATACACATACAATTCGACCTAGGCTACCCTAATATGTATATATTTATAAAAACAAAAAAAACCTTAAGCTAGTCGGACCGATCGCGCGCGTGTCCAGCCGCGAGTGGACACTATTTCAGTTTATTCTCTCTCCAACAAAACGCGTAAGGTTTGTTGAACGCGAGGATGTAACGCAGGTTGAACGGCCTCGCTGTCGTCGTGCGGAACATGCCAGCGGACATCGGTTATCGGCGCGGCGGAACGAGACACGGGACGCACACACGCGGACACGGGTGAACGCGGACGGGGGTGGACGCGGTCGGGATCCTTTCCTCCTCGTCGACGTGTACTGACGCACGGCCAGCAGAGCGGTGGTAGTCGAGGCCGGGATGTACGCGCGACTGACACTTGCCGCCCGCACGAAGAGGTTAGGCGCGCCGAAACGTGGACCTGGCGCGCGCCGCTTTCCAGCTCGTCTCGCCTCGCCTCGTCGTGCTCGCGCGACTGACGTTCCACCGGATATCCGTCCGCGACTGGATTCGACCTAGGGCGGCTAGGGCTCTTCGATCGGCGCGATCCCTTCGCTCGTATCGTGCAGATCCACGAGTATTTAATCGCGAAACGTGCGGGTGCAGACGGCCATATTGCTTCGGCGCGCGAGGGAGATGCGCGTCGCGATCTGCGCATGCGAGGCAGAGTGAGATAGATAAACGATCAGATGTCTGACAAGAGAAAAATAAAAGAGTGGATTAATCATTCGAAAAGAATTTTTTCCCATGGACAAGTTCAAGGCTAACCAAGCTCCATTAGTCTAATCGGTATTAGCTTATCGAGTAAATTTATATACCAGTTGACTAATATATCAAATTAGATTAATATAATATCTAGTTATTATAATAAAATACTATTTCATTAACAAATAAAATGAATTTTTTCGTTGCTTAATCGTAGAAATCTTGCTGATTAAATTAATCGCCAATTAAGTAATCTTAAATCGGTCAAAGTTGCTTTAAGAAACACTCGATAAAAAAATAGTCTTATTGTTGTTCGAGAGAAAAATAAGTAAAAATGAATTGTACGCCTTTCGAACGCCGAGCGATTTATCGCGATTTACTTTTCAGTGAATTTCGAATACGTCCGTTTTACTTACCCGCATTTCTTTAGGCTTGTCGCCTACCCTATAACATAATTAAATAAGAGTGAAGAAAGAAGGGTAGTAAGACAAAAAGAATGTGGAAAGTGCGGCGAAAAGAACGAACCTGACGGACCGAGTCGTGGACGCGCCTGTTGACCTACGCACAGGCGGTCACGTGACGAAATTGCGAAGGAAAATTTCAGAATGAACAATATCAGATCCGAGTACAAAGTTTAAAGTCGACGGTTCGTTTTGTCTGCTATCTGATGAGACGAAGAATTTTTTGATAAATCCAACAAAAGATAGGTGCACTATCTTAAACGCTCGATCACTTTCCTGTCTTACCCGATCGACAGCTTATTATAATTTCACCGTGGATCATAAGACGCGAAAGAGAAATTACTTAGCGGAGAAATTTGGAAAATTTATGAGAAATTTTTTAGGAGAGAGGCTTAGCGAGCAATTCAACGATTCTTGTCGCGATCTTGCTGACTTGCATATTTTTCCGTATCTACAATGTTTCTTACATGTGAGAGCGCAACATTAGTCGCTAAATGAATGAAAGATCCCTGTATTCAAATCGTACTTCCTGTTCACGCGTTAATATTAATTGGAAACAGCTGTCGCTTACGTAATTATTTTATTACTGCAATTATTATAGGTATGCATTAAATGTACAAAATACATCAGTGTTCTCTCAATTTACAGTAAAAAGTTCGAGAATAGACGTATAAACAACATTATCATTAATTAGTCTTGTATAACAGAGGAACGTTTTTTTTTTTAATAGATTTTTGAAACCTTAAAGATAAAAAATTGACGCTATTGCAATAACAAAGATTAATCCAACGAGAATCATTACTCTTATGAATAATTTATATGCTTTGAAAGTAATGACTTCCATAAGTCATTACTTTTTATCTTTTTTTTTTTCATTGTTAGTAAACATGTTATAAATTTTCGTAATGTCATTGTTATGAATTTATTGCTTCATAGACAAGAAATAAAAAACGCTATCTATCTTTGACAAGATAGCTTTGAAAAATGGATATTTCAGATGTGAAAAAATATCGATGACAAAACCTAATTAAATGCCAAGTGGTGGCAAAGAGCAGCTCGAGAGGCGACTGACGCGACAGCGCGCCACGTTATTCGTTAACGAGAAAACGACGATGCACGAAGATGAGAATCAACTAGAGAGAGCGTCCAGCTGCGAAGCGTCCACTGGGGTTTTCGGCTTCCTGCGAAGGGCTCGTCCCCGTATGTTGAGCATCGTCTTCGCCACCAGCCACACCGCGCCCGTCTCGCACGTGTAGAGCAGCGCGTTCATGAAGCCGATGATCAAACTGTGCGGCGGATAGCCGGTCGTACGCGACTCGATGCCGACCGTTCTCAGAGTCGCCTTGACGAACTTCTCCGGGGTAGGCGCCATCCACGTCGGTCTCCTGCGGAAGAGAAAGAAGAAGATATGAAGCGGGACGACGTCAGGATGATTCCAAACATTGCGTTCATTGAAAAATGGAATAGAATAAAAATTATTTCCCAGTCTGCAAACGCGCGAGTCCGTTCTGCAGGAGGCTCTCTTACTTGATCTTGGACATCTTCGTGGCGACCGGGCCGGGTAGAACGCACTGGACAGTGACACCTCTCGGCGCAGCTTCCGTAGCCAGGTCGGCGCTGAGCTTGTCGATATACGCCTTACTGGCGGCGTAAACGGACAGATACGGGCTCGGTATAGCCGCGGCCGTTGAACTCACGTTAATGAGCACCCCTTTCCCTCGCTCCATCATGCCGGGCAGTACCGCTCTCGCGACCCCGGTCACTCCGGCCACGTTCAGTTGCAATATTCTCGCGAGGACCTCCTCCGACACTTTCGTGAACATCTCGGGATGATCGTAGCTCGCGCCAGCGTTATTGATCAAGACGCCGACCTATTGGAAAATATCTTTTAATTATTTTCCCTTCGCTTTCTCTTTCTTTCTCTATCATAAGAAACAAGCATCTTTTAAAACAGGAGAAAGTAATTTTTTTTCTTTTTTTTTTTTTCTAAAGAAGAAGATCTTCTTTTGCTGTTTCTTTGTGAAATGCATCTATCAATTTGTTCGAGATTTACAATGTGACATTAAATTCATTACCTCCAAGTCCTGCGTTGCTTTGCCGATTTCCGCGTAAACCACCTGGCCTTCGGTTAAATCAGCTTCAACGACGCGTGTCTCTACCTTGTATTTCCGCTCGATCTCAGCGGCCACGTCCTTCAACTTAGACAAGGACCGCGAGACCAAAACAATGTCCATACCTTGCTCGGCAAGGGCTTTGGCGAATGCCTTTCCAAGGCCATCCGTCGCGCCGGTTACCACCGCCCATTTGCCTTGTGTTCGTAAATCAATTCCAAATCCAAAACCGGGTGCGATCAACTTCTTCCACGCTAGAATTCCGATTTTTATGAGGATCCTCAAACTGATGAGCGCCGCTATCATCAAAAATATCTTCTCCCACCAGATTAGCGCCATTCTAAAATTCAAGCAACACCATGTATACGCGTATCACGTGAAGGTGTTTTCATCGATTCTATTTACGTTTGTTATAATTAATCGCGGCCGAGCAATCAAATGCAATTAAAATACGACGTTTAAAATTAGATTAATACGATTCATTTTTTTTTACTAGCAACTATATATAGTGCTAGTTCTCTAGCGAACTAGAAAAATATTTTCTTTCAACTACCAGTTTTTTTTCTGGAAAACTCAGTTCGCTGGAAAATTAGCGCACTAGTGCTAGTAAAAAAGATGCAAATCAAGCCTAATAATTGGTTTCTCGAGGTAACGATTAAAAAAAAATCATCGTACGAACACTGCAGATAACAAGCTAAATTTGAATTTTAAATGTCTTATCATCTGGCGTGATGATTGTTTCATGATATTAACAAGGTCTCTGCCAATCATTACCGGTTTTGGCTTTTATGTGACCTTGTGTCATATTATCAACCGATATATTGTAAACCATTATCGTACGCGTACATATTCGTTCGCCGTCATTCGCATGTCTTTTTTTTACTTTGCCTTGGAAAATGTTCATGGTAATACATTCTACCTACTTGCATTTTAATATTTAAGCTTGTTGAATTTTCATACTGCATAATATGCATTATCTCGAATTATCTTGAAAAAACTTAATTAATCTCCGTCTGCGGTTTTTTGCTTAAATTTCTAAATCAACTACTTTACGTAATGCGTTTCCGGTCAGGCAATAGATAAATCTCGCTTATGTAAATGATATTCCGTGGCTTTTATTGATGGAAAAATACGTCAATCGCGTGATCGCATCATCCTTCAATAAAAGTTCATGCGAAACGAGCGTTCAGCGCTTCTTGTTCTCTTTTTCGTTAACTTTAACTTTTTTTAATTGCACGCTTCTTATTTCACGTACCTGTTACACGCAGAAACGCAGGTGCCTCATCTAAATATTGAATGATAAGCATAAATAGGGGATATAGTTTCGTTATCACACAATGCAAAAATTAACATACAATATTCATTCATCGTACGAGTATTGGCTAATAATTATTCTATCAGTCATCGTTATAAAAAATCGAAACTTTTTTTTTTCGTGCTGCAGGGACAAAGTCCCACCGTTGAAATAGCCTTATCATGGTGCACAGCGATAATATTAATACTTACATTACAGATATTATATCGTGTTTTACACGATACAAGTCGTATGTACAAAAAAAAATATTTTGACACTCTAAATCGCACATATTCTAAATCAAGTCAATTGTCGCAATTTGTCTGGGAAAATATATATAATAAATGTCAGCGCTTTTTTACACAGTTTACATATTAATTCGAAGGTCTTCGAATGAATTAAAATTGTCTCATTATCGTCTGATTTAAAGTTAACTTGAAAGGATTATACTCGAGCGATGTGAAACGTTAAAAAACAAGTTACTAATACAGCGGGCAGATTCGTCTGACCGTAAACTTCACAGAACTTCATCGCGAGACACACAGCTTTCTCCGACGTGTTTTATACTCCAATGCGCGAGGCGATCGCGTGCCACGACACTTTCTCACTTTCTCACCTGAACTCGACCTTTGCTGGCAATGGATTCTTCTTCCGGATCTCCCGATCATTCGACGACGAATATAGCGAACTCCAGTGCTTCTGCAGCGGGAGGGTTGCAGCCAGCGATCGTCTCGGAGACGTCAACAAAGCAGTGCACGCGGCGACTGCTCGATGTAACGATAATTACATTAAATATATACGAAAGACGTCAAATAACAAGAAGAAAAGAGGAAGGACGCAAAAAAGTTAACTCGACACTGAGCGGACCAGGCTGGTGCCCAAGAAAATGTCAAGGTCTATTCACTCGCGGAAGGGCAACAACTCCGAGTCAACTACCTGTTCCAATGAGTACCGGCGTTGTACTGCGTTGCGAAAGCGTTAAGCGGTCGCGCCGATCGATGCTTTGCTCGGGATTTAGGGGGGCTATCAGCAACGCTCCGCGTGCGCGCGCCCGCGCTGATTGGCGCGGCACGCGTGTGGGCATACATATAGATATAACACGCACCGTGCACGCGCTTATGTACGCACGCAATGTCAGGGCCAGAACTGGTATTCCCATGGCCTTTTGACAGGACGTTTCCCACCCCGCGCGAGAAGATAGCGGTATTCCTCGGTTCACGTGGCCGAGCAAAAGGTTCGGCTGTCCGAGGCGAAAACAGCGGTGGGGCGGACCGACGCCGATGAGAGAAGACGATTCTCTCTTTGACACACTTCGCCGCCAGCGGCCTCCTTCCGCAGACTTCGTGCAATTTCTTCCGTTCTTCGATCGCCCCGATACGATATCTCTCGAGGGCTGCGATACACTCCCGTTTTTTATGATCAGCGCAGATATATAAAGATAAATAACAATATTCGCGGGAAAAAACGGCTGGGCGTGTTACTTGACTAATGTCTATTTCTACCAAAGTAGATTAACTTAATTTAATCCAGGTTTACCTTATTTTGTATTTTTTTCTACTTTGAAGAATTAGAACAAGATAAAAAATAAATAAAACCGTGATTAAAGTTAATCTACATTGGTAGAAATGAACATAATAAGTCACTTCCGCGTTTTCTCGCGGAATGAGAATCATGTTTTTATGTATTATGTCCTGGGGAAAGCGATATCCACTTCCGATGAAACAATCGGTTCGCGAATTTGCCATCGAGCTTTCAATAAATAATTTTATATCTGCCTCGAATTCGAATCTGCAATTTTTTCGGACAATTACGCCGCAGGCGTTTTGTATATTTATAATGTTTTGTTAACTCTGATATGCGCCCAATCGGGCTGCTGCCTACAATATTAAATAAAAATTTTGCATTAATCTTTAAGCTATACGCGAATTTTAATATTGGCGAGCAAAGAATTGTGTAAACATGCAATCTATATCGACGCAAAAAAAAATTGCGTAAGTTTCTTTTGTTTCCTGTAATTAATTGTAATGCATAACTTAAGTTACGCAATTATCATTCGTTAAATCATTAAATTATAAATTAAAATGGCATATACATATATAAAAAAGTATGATTTTACCACGATTATGTTAAAAAAGTCTGTGTTGAAATATAATTTTACTTTCAAATTCTTGCATTTTTATACCGCAACTAGCGAAGTATTCGCGCAAAAAAAGAATAAAAAAACATACCTATCACTTTTTTTCAGCGGTTTTTTCGTTTCGTATATGCGTGCCTTTAAAATGCTTGTCCAGAAAACGCGATAACACTGGCGATGTCGAGAACGAGTCTGAAAACAAGATATGTATAACACCGCTAACAATTTATTCCGTTCAATATACATAAATACCACATTTTACATATACATTGAATATACATGCACAATTTACATGAACAATATACATTAAAAGTTCAGTATACGTAAAGAATATATTTTACATATACATACATAATTGCACGTCTGTAAATACAGTCTTGAATAATCCTATATGCAAATCACGAAGTCGCGGATAAATACACATGTATTTATTCGTATCGGGACATGATGGATGTTAAATGTCATTGAAAATGAACTAACGCGAACGTTTACTCTTCGTATTAAGTACATAGATTACATGGAAAATACGAATTCAGACAGAAATGCGTCGTTGACATGTGTCGCACCCGTTCATTTCTCTTTCACGTTACTCGATCGATTTTTGAGGATACCGTACAGCAAAAGTATATGGCACAGATGCAACGCCGTGCTGCTGAATATCGTGCTCGGATACGTGTTCCAGCACAGCTCTATCATACCCAAGATGGTCATCTTGAGGATGGTGTTGTATTCGGTGCACCACGCGATGTACGGTAACGTGTGGTAGTACCATACGTAGAACTGATAGTGCAACGACCGGCTGAACACGATGCCGATGAAATTCGCGACAAAGAAGGGATAGATGAACAACTGATTCACGGTTGACATGTCCACTTTCTCCTTCTTACGCAGCACCGGCCTCAGCTCCTCCCGCCACATGTACTTCAGTTTCGCGTACGACCTCATGTAGGTGATCCAAACAGGCGCGCAGTACAGCAGCATCAGCACGTGCATAAGCAGCAGAGAGATGTGCAGATACGGATGTACGAACACCTCCTCGGGTAGGAACCTCCAGTTCACGGTCCATCTGTGCTCGAAGACTCGGCCCAAGTTGAAGGCGCCCTTCACGTAAGCGATCGGATTCTCCAGCAGGAACGGAAGACCGAGGATCAGCTGTATCAACGCGCAGATGGACAGGTGCGTCAGCGTTTTGAGCGTTCCGAGTATGCACAGATAGGCAACGAGAAGCGCCGGAGCGAACAGCAGGACGTTCATCTTGATGGATACAGCGAGGCTGTACAGCGCGCTGCCCAAGTACCAGCGATTGTCCAGGAACGCGTTGATGGACGCGTACAGCAGCACCATCGCTACTGGATCGTTGAAGAGCCTCAACACGAATATCGAGTGCACTCTGTAGGAGGTGCAGCACATCAGGATAGGAACATACGGCGGCACCTTCTTGGTCCGCACGTAAATCCGGAAGACTAGTACCAGCGTGACCGCATACAGCGCCGCAAAGAAGTACTGCGCCAGCCTTATGTTGGCGCCGCGCGAGGTCAAATAGTAGAGACCGGAGAAGACGTAGATGAAACCAGCCGGGTAGACCAGCGGCCCGGTGTCACCGCGCAGTTTCGAGTAGTCCGTCGTGCCGTTCAGGAATCCCTCGACCTCCTGCATGTAGGCCCGCCAATCGATCTCGGTGTACGGCACGAACTGAACAATCAGCACGTTCAAGATGATCTCCAGAAAGATGAACGGTTTCGCTGTCACCGACAACTTCTTCGGGTCGAAAACGAAGACGGAGATCCAGTCCACGTAATTGTCCAGCCATTTCTTGTTACTTCTCCTCGAAGACCTGCCGGCGTTGACGACCTCCCTGCGTGGCGCCATACCGCCCTACAATTAACACGCGTATCCCACATCATTCACTTCGTTTTCAATTACGCGTGTACAGACTTTTACAAACTCGCGCGCACGCAAGATATTTAACTCCAAGGTCTATATATTTACCTGATCGGTCGCTCTTCCGCGACTCCTCGAGAGGTTAGCCAGACTTTACAATCGGTTCATCGCGGGTCCGATAAATCAGCTCGTTGAAACGATCCGTCACCGTCAGTACTCATCGTCGGTCTCCAGGAGCCGCAAAAAGGGACAAAAAGTACTTCCCTAATTCCCTTTCGTTTTCCACGTACCGAAACAAATTTGTGTTTTCCTCGGCACGAGTGTCTAAAGGCTGATCTACACGATAAGGCGGTAGTCAAAGTTATTAGGGTGCGTTCCCACTGAGCGCGTCACCCATGGATCTAAGCGCGAATTCACACCACAGTATAACCAGTAGGTCCACTCAGCGAAAAACTGAGTCTTCGCGCAGGTATCGCCGCGCAACTTTTGTTTTGGGTTGGATCCAATGAAATGCAAGACGATAGGAACGTACATACATATGTGCAGACAATTTATAAGCAATTACATCAGAAATTTTCTTTAGTGATCACTCCTATACGAATAATTGTTACTAATAAAACGTTTATTCGATTGAATTTATTGATTATTACACATTGAATTTATTGATTTACTGTATCGAATCCATATTACTTATCTGTTTTATACTTGTGAGGCACTTTTCTCAA